TGAAGCGTGATTTTTGGAATAAACTCACATGGGCCAAGTGCCACGGGCCCATGGGTGCGACCCTGCTTTCGCTTTCAAGAATTGGCTGGGCTATGATATCTGCACACCAAGTCGTCGATGATAAAGGAACCATGATTTCTCTCCTGCACACGCCGCCCATGGAGGTCAAGAGATTGCTGCAGGAGTCCATAGGACGATGGCAGATGAAACGGATATTGGCGCACATTCCTGAAGCATTTGGTTATGAAGAAGTGTGGCGGCGTGACTGTCGACTTGCGATATTACGCATTAAGGACGACGTCAGGAGAGGCTGTGCTAGACTACTATTGGGATCAGGGCGCTGGCCGCCCTCGAGGAAATATGCAGCAGGATATCGAGTGACGCCCGCCTGTGATTTCTGCCCGAACCCCAACGCCACACTAGGGCACCAGCTGTACCAGTGCCCACTTTTAACCCAGCCCCCAGAGGATCTTGATGTAGAGCCCCTTCCCGATGACATTATCGAGCACAGAGAAACTTTGAGGGACCCGGGGCACTCTGGACTACAGGCCGACTGGGACACTCTGGAGCTTGCGCATGGGCTCCCTTTTTATTCCCTCAGTGTTCCAGGGATCCCCGAGGCCCCCACGGTTCATTGGGGTGCAACGACGGGGCCCTGGGGCAGGCGCATCTATACCGACGGTTCAGGGCTTGCGAACTCAAGCCCAGAACTTAGACGGTGTGGATGGGCTGCCGTCGAGGTTGACCAGTGGGGCGTGCCCCACAGGGCTCTCTACGGGCCTTTGCCTGGGCGCCAGACGGTGCCCCGCGCTGAGAGGTATGCGACGTGGTCACTGACCACCTCCACCTCGTTCACGAAGGGTGCTCACGGGATCCCGATCTGGCGGCTGCCCGAAATGTGCATGCAGATATATGGCGCAAGATATTCGAGCTTCAAGGCGAAGGCCTTCAGAGGCCAAGTTTCCGTTGGGTCCCAGCGCACCGAGGGCCTGAGGACATACTTTTGTGCACGAGCTCAGACATCCAATACTACCTTGGAAATATATGGGCAGATTTTTTCGCCAGGCTAGGGTCGAGCATGCACCAAGTTCCAGATGTCTATGTCAAGGCCGAGAGGGCCCAGATAAAAAAAAAACATCAGCCCACCTGGGATTTTTAACACGTGCCATCCAGATAATTAGTATTGCGGGAGACCAGGTTGAAGTCCCGCAACCCCCCCCAGGCAGGCCCCTAGCACGGCGTCGAAGCGTTCGCTCTCGCAGCACGAACGTTGTTATGTTGAAGCTCGTGGCGAATGGAGATGTAGGCGCTGCAACATGGCAGCGACCACCGACCAGACTCTCAAGGGTCTGCGAACGGGGGGAAGTCGTGAATGCAGGCCCACTGCCATTCAGCAATGGCAGGCCAACATGTTTTTTTGTTTAACAAGATAGCAGAGCAAGGCCTGGCTGTCGGATCTGACTCGACGGCTGCAGCTGGGCCTGCCCTGGAGCTTGCCAACGCGATCCCGGGGCCCCTGCCTGGAGCCTCCCCCTTCGAGCCTCCTGGGGACCTGGGGCCTTCCTCTTCCTCTTCCTGGCCCAGGGGCCCCTCTGGATCGGCCGCAGAAGGCCTCAAAGTTTTTAGCGACCTGCAGCACCGACCTATGCGCAACGGTCGAATAATCATCTGCCTCGACTGTGCGTGTTTTTTGGTGCTCCCTGATGGTTGTTGTCGGAGATTACGACGGACGTGCCGAGGTGTCTCGCAGGTGCAGGCGATACGCATTGGTCACCTCAGAAAGCTTGCTCGTGCTGAGAGTGGCCGACATCCAGGCACTGGTTTCCAGCTCGAGAGCATGCCCGAGTCTCCTGACCGTGCAAGCGCCACCGCCCAGTGCTCTTCTGTTCCTGCTGCCGCGGCAGCCTCGAGCATCGTTGTGGGTTGTGGTGCGGGGGAGGGAGACTCGGGCTCGTCTGACTAATATTCTCGGGGCCGCGAACCCTCGTGGCCCCACTTCCACTGCCAGGCAATTTATTTTGCCTTCTGTCGGCCTGTGCCGCAATGTAGCAGCCGTGCTCCGTGGTGCCTGGTTTGCAGGCGCCAAGTGCTAGGAGCACGGCCAGGCGCCCAGTCGGCCGCCGCATTCTAGCAGGAGGGCTGGCATCTCTGCCCACCCTCCCGCGATCCCCCATCCAAGGCTGCAGCTATCGACTTGACTGCTGCCGCTGCACCGCTTCCGCTTCCGCTTCCTCTTGAAACGGCACGGCTGGCGAGTGCTGCCTTCTCGGAGGTCTTCTCTCGGTAGCAGGAGATCGATCATCCCGACTCTTCGATGATTTCCTCACCCAAACAGCCAGGAGCCGAGTCGGTCCTGACAGCAGCGCCGTTGCCTCTCGTCTTCGGACTGGAGTGAGACGGATGCGGCACCGGTATGCATGCATACATTACAGAATCGATGGGAGGTACGCGATGGGAAGTTCGAGGTAGAGCATGGATCACAAAACCAGTTGTCCACTAACTGATTTGATGAACGCTGGGAAGAACGATGAAGTGAAAAACACAAACGTGCTGACGCCAGTCGGATAAGCAGGCGATCATCTGCACGGCGCTGTCTTTCAAGTCGATGCCAGGAAGGCTCTGACGTCGTACTGTCGCGGTCGGCCACAGGGGCTGGCACGCTAGGTTCTGGCAAATGATTGTAAATGGTGAAAGGGCTGCGGCCCGCCTCGTCCACCCAGGGGGCAGGACCCAGACGGGAATTGATGCAGGCTCGTGCCAGAGCCTGGGGAGGTGGAGGAGGAGGAGGAGGAGGAGGAGGAGGAGGAGGAGGAGGCAAAGGCAACGGGAATAAGAGGGTCCCAGGGTGCACTGTTTGACCAGCCGCTCCGTCGAGCACGCTGGAGTTGATCGTTCATGCAGTCTTTCCCTTTCTCTCTCTCGCTCTCTGTCTGTCTCTCTCTCTCTCTCTCTCTCTCTTTCTCTCCCTCACTCCCTCACTCTCTTTGTCTGCTCTCACCCTTCTGCGCACGTGAACGCAGGGTACAGCACACTGCTTGCACAGGGCTGGCCAAAGCATGCCGCCGTGTGCTGCAAGTTCCGCCACTGGTGCCAGCCCAGCACACCGGGTGGCGACCTCTCGGCGGGCGCAGTGGCAGCTCGTAGCGTGTGACACCTCGTGTCCCGAGGCCTGGGGGAGCCGTAACCTGTGACACGCTCTTCCGCGTCGTGGCCAGGGTTTGCCTTCTCGTACTCGGCGCCCTCCTCCCCTTTGCTCCGCCTCTCCCCTTCTCCCCCCCCTCCCTTCGGTTTCCTTCCTTCCTTCCTTCGCGCGAGGGGGCAGGAAAAGCCGCAGCTGCCAGAAGCAGGGCCTTCCGCAGGGAGCTGCGCAGGCTGGACGTGCCCGTCGGCAGGACTTGGGGCCGAGGCCACGGCACCCTCCAGAGGGGGCTCGAGGACGCCCGCCTCGGGCAGGTAGGGGGTCGCATGCGAACCCTACCCCAGATTTCGTAATAAAGGGAGGGGGGTCTCATTTCGGAGGGGGGTCTTTTCCAAGCATTCTTGGAGGGCCTGGGGGGGTCTGGGGACGATGTTTTGGAGGGTTCTCCCACGGGGGGGGGTCTGAAATGGCCTGTCTTGGAGGGTCCAGACCCCCTCCCTTTTATTACGAAATCTGGAGTACCCCTACCCCCCACGATTTCTGAGGGGGAGGGTGGGGTTCACTCCGTTCGGGAGCTCCCGAGCGAAGGGAGCCCCCCCCCCTTCCCCCCCAGAAATCGTGGGGGGTAGGGGCAGGGTTCGCATGTGGCCCCCTTATCAGCTTTCCCTCGAGCTGGCCGTGGAGCCTCCCCCTCGAGGGGGCAGTGTGTGCTGAGCTGCGCTTCTGAGCGCGTGCCGAGTCTTACGCCGCGCGCGCTGCGCAACCGGGCGGGGGCGCCAGCTCCGCAGTCCAGGCCCCTGCCTGCTCCATACGAGCGCTCTGCTCGCGACTGAGATTGCCTCGGCTGCCTCAGCTGCTCCTCCTCCTCGCCCCCCCCGCCCCCCCCTCCTGCCCTTCCACCCGAGTTGCCGCAGCTGCTCCTCCTCGCCCCCCTGCTCCCCCCCCTCCTGTCCCTCCGCCTGCCACTCATCCTCTGGGCGGGTTGTCCGGGCTGGGCCCCCCTCCCCCCCTCCCCTTCCCCTCCCCCGCCCTGCCCTCCGCCCTCCGCCCGCCCCCCCGGGCTGCCCCCCTCCCCCTTTTCCCCTCCCGGACGTGCGACCCAGACCCCCGACGTTGTGATTTTTTCCCAACGTCGACCCCCAGAGGTCATGGACCCTTTCCCCGGGACCGGTGTTTCATGTCCTGGGTCGTTTTTTGACGGCCCCGAGACCTGGCAAGGGCCCGCGGAGGCCGAAACACCTACCGTCGTGATTTTCTGCACAACGCGAGGAGGTCTGGGGAGGCTTCCAGCGTTTCCAGCGTGGGGCCCCCCGGAAGCCCCGTGGCCCCCTGCCTGCGGAAGCCCTGCCGGTCCTCCGGCGGGCCGTTCTCTCGGGCGGTCCTCGGGCCCGGCCGCGGGGGGGGCCCCCCGGAGGCCGAGCACGCGGCGAGGAGCCTCGGCCCCTGCTTTTCTGTCGAAGCGTCGGGCCTTTGGGCTCCTCCTCCTCCTCCTCCTCCTCCTCCTCGTCCTCCTCCTCCTCCTCCTCCTCCTCGTCCTCCTCCTCCTCCTCCTCCTCCTCCTCCTCCTCCTCCTCCTCCTCCTCCTCCAGGCATCGGGCGCCTCGAGAAAATCGGGGCGGAGATTTTTGTCCCAGTTTTCGGCCTCTCGGGGCCCTCGCCAGGCCTCGGGGCCGCCAAGAAAACGGCTCGGGAGGAGAAGCTGGTCCCGGGGAAGCGTGGTCGGGAGGTCGGGGGCCCGTGCCTCGACAAAAAATCGCGGCGTCGGGTGTCTGGGCCTGCCCGCTGCCCCATTCCCTCCCTCCCCCCTCGCCGCCTCTGCGAGGGGCGGGCCCGGCCGGGCCGCCCGGCCCTAGCCCCCCAGGCCCTGGAGGGCAGGCCCGCGACGCCGCCGCGCCCTGGCACGCTGCGCGCGCTGTCGGCGGAGGACTCGTGGACCGGAGGAGGAGAGGGCGAGGAGGATGGGCGAGGAGGAGGGCGAGGAGGAGGGGAGAGGAGGAGGGCGAGGAGGAGGGGAGAGAGGGGGGGGGGAGGGAGGGGGAGGGGGAGGAGGAGAGGAGGAGGAGGAGGAGGAGGAGGAGGAGGAGGAGGAGGAGGAGGAGGAGGGAGGAGGAGGAGGAGGGCGGAGGACTCGTGGCGGAGGAGGGCGAGGAGGAGGGGAGAGAGGAGGGAGGAGGGAAGGCGCCAGCCGGAGCCGCAGGGATGGGCAAGAACAAGCAGTGGCAGCGGTGGCGTTGCCACCGCCGCCTGCACCGGCACCGACGCCTGTGCCAGCTGACGGCCCTCCGCTTCCACCGCTTCCACTACCACCGCTCCCTCTTACTTATCCCTGCGGCTATGGCTGGCGCCTTCACGCCACTCCCACCCGCCCAAGATCGCGGCCTTGGGAGACGGAATTCAACGCATGACCCCGCTCAGGCCGTTGAGCTGAGGGGCCCCCTGGCCATAAAGGTGCGCCAGCACCCGTCACCAGACGCCCAGCGGCCTCCATCCTGGCCGGGGACGGCTACTACTTCAACATGTTGTTCGAGCCGCCGTCCGGCCCGTGGTGCCTTCATCTCCGTTTCCTCCCTCCTCTGGCGCTGTTTCTGGGGGGATAGAAATCGGGGTGCTTTTCTATCAGTTGCACGTATGCGCTGGTACGCCGGGGTATAACCCAACGTCGCTCTGCGTTCTCCCAAGCCATGGTTCCCTCTGCGGGCCCGCCCATGGCGGTCTACCTGTGGGCTGTTCCCAGTGTCTTGCTCCTCTTCCTCCTTCCTCTCCTCCGGCTTCTCCCTTCCCCCCCTCCCCCTCTTCCCTTTGAGGTGCCATCGAGTGGCGCAGGATCGCCATGCCAATTCTGAGATTTTGGTGACATGGACGCGGAAATCTGCAGTCCAACTCCTTGCGCGAAGGTGCATCAGGCTGAGCTGCCCCCGCTGTGCCAGGCAGAGATGTCGTTCAAGTTTCTGGTTCGACTGCCGCCTCCTGGTCCAGGGTGAGGTTCCCTAAACAGCTGCTGTCTCTCTGTGTTGTTGCTGTTTGGATCTCTTCGTCGTCTCACGAACGGGTGGGTCTGGCCACCACTGGCGCACTGTTCGGGAAAGGGGTCCCGAACACCTTCTCTAGGCTTGCTTGGTGGAGCCATCGTCCCATCAGTTGGGAAGCTGGCAGGTTTCATCGTCTGGTGTTTTCTGGGAGGCAAGGAAGTGGAGGGAGGAAGAAAGGACGGAGGAGGAGGAGGAAGGAGGGAGGAGGGAAGACGGAGGAGAGAGGGAAGAGGGAGGAGAAGAGAGGGAGGAAGGAGGAGGGAGGAGGGAGGAGCGAGGAGCGAGGAGGGAGGAGGAGAAGGGAGGGAGGGAGGGAGGGACACTTGCTGGTGGCCGACGCCGGAGCGCACGTCCCCATCCAGTCCGGCGCGGAGTGATGCAGGGAGAGCCGCTCTCGCCGCTCCTGTTCGCGCTGGGCATTGCCCTCGCCGTCCGCGCGGTCGACGCGCACTTGGAGCAGCTCCAAGTCGGGCGCGATACGGCCGCATACGTGGATGATGGCGACGTTTTCTTGCCGCCACCGGCGATGCCGCACGTCCTCCTGGTGGCGGGGCCAGTCTTCGCCCAAGCCGGCCCGTGGCTCAAAGCCACGAAGACCACCCACTGGCGACCGGACGGCGCCGCCGCCCCAAACTCAATAGCGCCGGCGACGCAGGCACGCGTGCCCGTGGCTTGGGCACGGCAACCCGCCACGTTCCGCGTCCCCCTCCCAGACCCCCTCGGGTCATGAAAAAATCACGACGGGAGGTTTTTCGCTATTTTCGGCCTCCGGGGGCCCTCGCCGGGCCTCGGGACCGTCAAAAAACGACTCAGGATGAAGAGCCGGTCCCGGGGAATGGGTCGGAACCTCTGGGGGTCGCGTCATGAAAAAATCATGACGTCGGGGGTCTGGGCTGGACGTCGGGGCCCGCGGCACGGCCGAGGCGGCGGCGGAGGTTCGGCAGGCTCTCCTGCAGCGCCGCCGGCGCGCCCGCACGCGGCGGCAGCTAGTGGTGGACGCTGGGCTGGGCAGGCACCAAGGCATGTGCCTCCTGAGTGCAATTACCTACGCCCGCGGATATCACCTTCCACCTGCGCACGCTCCCCGCCGACAACTCCACCCTGACGCAGCTGGACGACACGGTGGCCGCTGCGGCGGCCGCCGTACAGGCGGCCCGGATTAGTAGGTCGACCCTGCCAGATCAAGGGTGCCCTCGTGTCCTGTGTCTCGCGACCCATGTTTCCTACATTCCTGTGGCAATGTGGCCCTCGGAAGGGTCTTGTGTCCTCTCGCGTGTCCTCTCCAATCAAGTCCGACTGCAGGGCGCTCCCGTCCAGTGGACCCCACCCGCCTTCGCTGGTCACGCTTGCCGTTGCGTGAAGGCGGCATGGGGCTCCCAGACGCGACGCGGACGGCGCCGGCCGCCCTGCTAGCAGGCACGGTGGCGGCCATGCCCGCCGTGTCCAGGGCGACGGGGGCCTCTTCAGTCGAGGATCAGACGACGCGGACGCCACTGCTGGCGGCTCGACTGGAGCAGCTCGTGACCACGCTAGCTGGGGCAGGAATGCAGACTCACGACGAAGTGCGGGCGGGGGTGACGCAGCCGCGACGCCACTTGCAAAGGCGCTGGGGGGAAACGCAGGCGGAAACGGCACGGGACGCGCTTCTCGACGAACTCCCGCAGGACTTGCGCGCGCTGCTCCGCTCGGCTGGCGGGCTGGGCGCCGGCGCCTGGCTGCTGCCAGCAGAGGAGAGCGAGGAGCGGATGCCAGATGACGAGTTCTCGGTGGCCTTCCATTGCGCTTGGCGCTGCCTTTGCAGATGCCGCCGGCGTGCGCGGCCTGCACTCGCGCTGACGCGCCCGCCGCGCAAGCGCAGCAGGACGTCCTGGGCGTCCATGCGTTGTGCTGCACGCGGGGCCCTGGACACACAGGCCGGCACGAGCGAGTCAAGCACGCCTGGGCCCGCGTGCTCGAGGACGCGCTGGGCGCCCCGCCGCTGGTGGAGCAGGTGATCCCCGAATGGGGTGCCGCCGATGGTCGCGAGGCGCGGCTCGACCTGAGCTTCGCTTCCCCAGGAGGCCGGACACGCCGCGCGGACGTCACCGTCGGCCACCCGAACGGCAGGGGGGTCGGTGGCGAGAGCCGCATCCGCACGAGACGGCGGCCTCGCCTTGGCGCTCGAGCGCCAGAAGCGGACCCGTTACCCGCACCCAGAGCTGGTCCCGCTCGTTCTGGAGAGCGGCGGACGGCTGGGGCCGGCTGGGCTGGCGCTCGTGCGGACGCTCCACGGGCAGCTGCCGCAGGACGAGGAGGCCGTGGTGATGCGCCGAGCGTGCAGGCGCGTCGCCACGGCATTGCAGCGGGCGCGGGCCCAGACGCTCCTGCGCGCCTCACAAGCGGCCGCGCGGGCCTAAGAAGGCGGCGGGGAGCGCGGATGCGCGGGGCGAGCCGCTCCGTGGAGGGGCCGACGCCGCGATAGGGGGCTCAGCGGCCGCCTCGCGGCACGATCTCGCCGAAAAAGCATCGGGCGATTCCCCCCCCCTTGGTGTGACGGCCCCCCCCCCTGCGAGACCTGCAGGCCAGGGGGGGGGGGGGGAATTCCTGGCTCCCTCGGCGCTCCGCCACCCGGGGCCGCGGGAGGCCGAGCGCTTCGAGGCGCGGCGCGGCCGGCGGCGGAGCGGGGGGCCCGGGCGGCGGGCAGAGGCGGCTGGGCCGCCGAGCCCATTTCCGCTGCCCCGCCTGGCCCCTCACGGGCGCGGCGCCGTGGTGGCAGCCAGGCGGGGCGTGTTGCCGGGAGGGAGGGGGGGATGGGAGGGGGAGGAGGGAGGGAGGGAGGAGGGGGGAGGAGAGGAGGAGGAGAGGAGGAGGAGGAGGAGGAGGAGAGAGAGGAGGAGGAGGAGGAGGAGGAGGAGGGAGAAGGGACGGGCAGGTACGGACAGCAGCAACAGCAGCAGCGGCAGAAGCAGCAGCAGCAGCAGCAGCAGCAGCAGCAAGAGGAGGAGGAGGAGGAGGAGGAGGAGGAGGAGGAGGAGGAGGAGGAGGAGGAGTTAGGACCTTAGGACGCCTTCGGCAGAGAAAGGTATAGATATTATGGTGCCGCGTTCTGGGAAGAAGGACCTGCGCTCCCTGGCGGGAGGAGGGAGGAGGAAGAGGAGGAGGAGGAGGAGGAGGACCGGAAACGGAAAGGCCTACCTCATTTACACACGTCAATATTCATCGGCTTAATGCCTACATACTTCTTTCCCGTCTACGCAGAACGGGAGCTCCACCAACGGCTCCAGTGGCAGGGTCCGCACGGCTGCGGTGCTGGTGCTTCATGTCGGTACACCCTTCGCACGCTTTGTGGCTCCACAGAGAGCCCGAGCTAAGGGCCAAATGCCAAAGCCTGGCAAGGCGGCGGTGCTTCATGTTGGCACACACACACGCACACTTCACACGTGTTGTGGCCCTATAGGGAGTTCCAGATGAGGCCCAAATCCCCATCCCTCCTCCCTCCTCCCCCCCGTCCTCCTCCCGCGCGCGGCCAGGAGAAAGCGCGGGTGGGGCAGCTGATCCGCGCGCTGGCCCAAGAGCGCCGCGACAAGGAGGCCCTGCACCAGGGGGGGGGGCCCGAGCCTACTTGGGCCCGCCAGTGCTCCGGGCTCGAGAGGGGTGAGGCAATGACTGGACGAGGAGGGCAGGACGGAGGAGGGAAGGGAATGAGGGAGGCACGAGGATGCTGCTGCTGCTGATGCTGATGATGCTGATGCTGCTGATGCTGATTATGATGCTGATGTTGCTGTTGCTGCTGCTGCTGCTGCTGCTGCTGCTGCTGCTGCTGATGATGATGATGATGATGATGATGATGATGATGATGCTACTGCTGCTGCTGCTGATTATGTCGATGATGATGCTGCTGCTGGTGATGCTGATGGTTGTACTTGTGATGGCGATGCTGGTGGTGATGATTCTGGTGGTGGTGATGATGATAATGGCTGTGGTGATAGTGATGATGGTATTGGTGATGGTGTTAATGGTGATGATTATTCTGATGGTGATGATGGTGATGATGATGAGGAGGAGGAGGCCGAGGATGACGAGGTTGACGATGATGACGATGCTGACGATGGTGAGGATTAGGATGAGGAAGAGGATGAGGGTGAGGTTGACTATCACGACGATGATGGTGATGGTGATGATTAGGATGAGGAAGAAGCTGATGCTGAGTACGAGGATGATGATGGTGATGATGTTGATGATGGTTGTACTTGTGATGCTGATGATGATGACGATTATGATGGCGATGATGCTGATGATAATGATGATGCTGCTGATGATGGTGATGATGATGATGGTGACGATAAGTATGGTGGTAATGGTGATGGTGATGGTGGTGGTGATGGCGATGATAGTGATGATGATGCTGATGGACGATGAACATGATGGTGATGATGGTGATTATGATATGAATGGTGTTGATGATGCTGATAATGATGATGCTGATGATGATGATCATGATGTTGTTGATGATGTTGATGATGACGATGATGACGATGACGATGACGATGATGATGATGATGATGATGATGATGATGATGATGATGATGATGATGATGATGATGATGATGATGATGGTGATGATGATGATGAGTTGGCCTAGGAGGACTCTTAGCAGGGAAAATCAGTAAATGAAGTGAGGTTCGGAGGAGAAGGAGGCAGGCAGAGAAGGGAGCGAGTGAGGAGGAGGTGGAGGAAAAGGAGGAACACAGCAAGGATAATAACGTAGTCATACAGATGGAGGACGACTGCGAAAATGTCGGTGCCGATGTTCGGACCAGAGGTATACCGCGCCTTCCGACGTCCACTGGTCTCGTCCACCCAACGCCGATTTCACCAGGGATGACAGGATAACAAGAGGAACGTGGGACGAAAAGCAGCAGGAGTGTCACAAGGCCCAGTTGTCCTCCTGCTCCTATGTCTCTCTCTCCGCTCCCGCTGTTTCTGTTTCTTTTGTTTGTTTCTCTCTCTCTCTCTCTCTCTTACTTTTAAATTCTCTTTCGCTCGCTCTCTCTCTCTCTCTCTCTTTCTCTATCTTCCCCCTTGGCTTTGGTGTGCTATGTTGCTCTCTCTCTCTCTATTTCTCTTTTTGTTGTCTCTCTCTCTCTCTGTCTCTCTCTCTCTCTCTCTCGTTCCCCCAACATGTGTGGCATGTCTCGATCTCTACAATCCGGGACCTTTCGGACCCCCCCCCCGCCCGAAGCGGGATCCTTGGCGTCCGGGATCAGAGAAACTATGGATTCAGTTTGTGTCGGGGTTTCGGTTTTCTCCTATGCCTGGCGGTCCATAGGGGCCAGACGGATCGCGAGGAGGCGGACGAGGAGGCGGAGGAGGAGGAGGAGGAGGAGGAGGAGGAGGGCCATCTGTGGTTGTGGCTGCTCGCGTTTCTCCGGCCTGTCTCTCTCCCCTCCCCCTCCTCCCTCTCTCCCTAAACCCCCCTCCCTCCTCCTCCCCCCGCCCCTCCCCCCGAAATGGGACGAATTGCAACCGACTGGTCTCAATTCCAACCGTTCGGAGCGAATTGCAACCATACATGGGACCAATTGCAACCATGGGATCTCCAGAAGTACTTCTTTCTTATTCAGAGGTACTTCTTTCTTCTTCAGAAGTATTTCTTTCTTCTTCAGAAGTCCTTTTCATCCCTTAGGATTCCTTAGGGGTCCTTGTGATTCCTTAGGACTCCTTAGGATCCTTAGGATTCCTTAGGGTCCTTGGGATCCCTAAGGATCCTTAGGATCAGGACTCCTCCGGATTCCGTCAGGAATCCTTAGGAATATTTGCGAATCCATAGGAATCCCGAAAAAATCCTTAGGGGAAGGGTGCGCTTTGGGGGCCTTCTTGGTGTCTCTTTGGGCCACTCTTAGGGCCCTCTTGGGGCCTTCTTGGAACCCTCCTGGGGCCCTTATTGACTTTTCTTGGCGCCCAAATGAGCCCTAGAAGGGCCAACGTTCGAGGGCTGCAGGGGGGCCCAGCAGAGTGACGTCCTATGGGGGCTCAGATTGGACCTCGCTATCCCTGCGGGGGGGCTGCGATCTGCGAAACTGTCGCCAC